CTGTAAACTAGAAAAAAATAAATAACCTAAAGTTGGCAAAGTTAGATCAGTTTTCAAAAGGGAGAGACAAAAACAAAAATCAGAAGGATTGAACAAACATGTTTATAACAGTGAGTGAGATTGATTATCTTCTGTAACTGTTTCTTCTGCCCCCTCCAAAAGGTTTATCCCTCTACCCCCACCAAACAGCATATAGCTGGCTACAGAATTCTCATCTGCAATGAAAAATCTTCTTTAATACACAGATAAGGAAGACAGGTCATAAACTTAAACCAGCACCTTTCAGAAGTGAGGGCACGATGTTGGCATGAGGTACGTTAGAGGATCACGTAAGACCCTGTGCAGCCTTGGCACTGTTCGGTGATGATCATATAATTCTGAGGGACTCACAAGTCACTCAGAAATCCAGATCACCTCCTAATATTTTAATACCTTCTCCTTTTCTTCAGTGTAGCAAACAACTCTATGAATTAGAAAAATATCTCTCTATTTGTGTAACAATAATTAGAGTTATGTCTAAACTTACTGTGTTAGTATGGACAAATTGGGTACTATGGACTTCAATTTACTGGCTGAATAAAAACATCATAATTGTTCTTGCTCATGAACCCTCACAGTGGATAGTCTCAGATAGAAGTTGTGTGGTCATTTGATGTCTATTACATATAGATTTTTTCCTACCAGGTACGACAAGATTCAGACAAATAGTGAAGCAACACAGATTCACAGATTATACAGATGTAAGGGAATATCCTAATCATCTACTTAAGTACATAAAAAATATGTACAGAACTACCAGACTTCAATCCCTCCTGCTAAAAGAGAGCCTCAACAGTAATTCACTGGTATTGATCAGGTATATTAGCATTATTTTCATTACTGAGCAAGGACTTCTAGTCTCCTATTGCTTCTTGAGTACGTATTTATATCACCATCCAAATTCAATAACAAGACTATTTAAAATGGAAAAGTTCTGCATCAATTTTTAAAATAAACAATAAAACAAAACCACAATAAAACAAAAGAAAACTGCAAGAACACTGAAAATGCTAAGTATTTCTAAGTATTTATGAGAAACACCGTTTCTCACAATCAAAACTGTTGGATGAGAAGAGTTGATTTAGCTTGAAAAGTTAATCCGTACAAAATGCATGCACTTCCTTTCTAGCTGTTATATCTTAAGAGGACTTCATAAGGTTATCATCATTTGCTCCCCCTGCCGAAGATAGCATATCTAGTACATGTACTTTTAAGCTAATTTAAAATAAACTCAGGCATTTGTTTCCACTTGCCCTTGTTTCCATGTCAACAGCATTTAATGAATGCATCATTCCAGGAAATGTCAATAAGGAGTAAAGAGGAATGACCAAGCACTGAAAACTTCACACATGGCATGAATTCTTCACAATCATATCGCTTTAATGAAAATAGGTGAGGTCACCTGCAGCATTCACAACTGCTTTGTAATACATTCTGACCCAGATGATTTTTCACAGTTCAGTAACACCACGTTTGAAGTTTTCACTGCAAACAATACACCCACAGGACTGACCAAATGCAGTACAACAGAAGCAACCAGCAATTACTGTGTTGACTTCTGTTACTTTGATCTCCGGGTCATGACCTTTGTTTTCACGCAATCTTCAAAGCAGAGATTGTAGACTAGGTTATTTTAGAGGACACACTGTTTTGCAAGCTATTTTTCTGTGATCCTTGCTTCCTATGTGAGCCAAAAGCTTTTAAAATTTTCCTGTCACCGTTACATTTCAGTTATTCTACTTTCCCTTGCCCTTACCACCAAGATATGCTTTTACAAAATATTAACACCCAAATACAGAAAGCTTAAAAAAATAAGATAAAAACCAAGAACTTACAGAGTTATTTTTTTAATAGAAAGAAACTAAAGCCATTTTACAGTGATGGAAAAAAAAAGTAAGTTTTTAAAATTAACCAAACAAATTTGCTCATAAAAATACCACAGAAGGGAACTTTCCATTTTCTTTTTCCGTCCAAGCAAAAATTCCAGTAACATAGAAATGTTTTCATCAATTTGTTCTCCTAGAAATTTAAAAGGTAAGGAGAAGTAGCAGGGATGGGCGAAAAAGCTTTTCTTTTTCCCTAAAAAATTTCCCATTCAAAAGTAATATGGTTCTTATAAGAAAACCCCAAAACCTACTTTGAGAAAAAAATCACAATAATGTTTTACTATAAAAGGTACTGTTAATGAAAGAATAGGGAAGAGCTTTAGTAATTAAATTATAGAAATGATATACCAATGGATTACTTGAGGAACCAGACTGGAATTTCTTGACAAAAAGCATAGTTTTCTATATTTTCTAAGTATTTATGATAAAACCTAATTATTTTTAATATATGCAATATTACTTTTAACCTCTGTTGCTAAGATCACTATGAACAACTGGACCTTAAGTTTTGTAAAAAATATTTTCCACGTTTCTTTAAGATTGAGATTTTGGGGGGGTTACAGATCTTTTCAATTTGTTGGATTGAGAAGATTAAGCAAAGCTTTGATTTCTTGCACCTTTCTCTTTCTGGTTTAGGAATTAAATAGCCTGAACTCTAATTGAACTCAGTAGGAACAAAATTAAAGCTCAATGAAAAATGAAGCTGTGGTTCTAATGGTCACTGCAAAAATTTACAAAAAGAAGTTCCCATTCAGAACAAAACAAAGCCAGCTGAAGTTATGGTAGAGCATAGTGTTTACATAATTCAAGTTCACTGAAATCCAATCTTTTGATGCTTTCTGGCAAATTTCTCAAAAAAACTCTTATGAAAAAAAGCTATTTCAAACCATTAAAAAATGGTGTAACTGGAAGAAAAAGTTGTCCAAGATGCTTCAGAATGTGTATTCAAAACTCTGAATTAGCCATTCAGAGTAAAATTACAAGAGTACTTTTAATCAGTTCCATCATGTAGATGAATATATATTCCCCTAAAGATAGGTAGGTAGATAGATAGATAGACAGAAAAACAGATAGACAGATAGTTGGATCCATGCTTTTGGGTTATGAATCTAATGTTGTCTAGCAAACACATTTCATATAATGCAACAAATAATAATGGAAAAGGATCAGGAAGCTTTCATTATAGCAGCAGAACCATAAATCATTCAACTAATTAGAAGCCCATTCTTCTTTATTAACAGAACTTCAATTAACCTATCTTATATGGAAAAAAATATCCAGAGTTTTGAAAAACTGAGAGGAAAGAGAATGGAAGCAATGTTGCAGTTTCCAGCAGATACATAAATAGAATCACTTCACACTTTGACATGGTGGTTTGTCATGACATGACCTAAAACTACCTTGACCTCTCTGAAATCAACATTTTTGCATTGAAATGAAACAAGAGACATGCTTGTTTTGATGTATGGCTGTGTGACATATTATAAATATTACATCACATAACCACAGAGGATGTCAATCAATAAAGAATTTTTTCAGAGAACACTAAATGAACCATGGGTTCTTGCCTCTGAATGGCTCCTTTAACGTACTACTTTTGCTTAAATGATTAATAGGAGACATATTGTCAGAAAACATACTTAAAGTGAAAAACAGTAAACTGTAGAAATATCATTCATTTTTTAAGCAATTTTCTAGTGCACATGTCACATAAATTTACATAGAGACAGCACTATTATATTCTCATAAGCTGGATAGTAGGCATACCTTCCACTTAAGTGTGAATGCAATGAGAAGATATTTTATTAAATTTAGGCTGTTCTACTTTGTGAAAACCAAAATACTACAAGCGAAACTTGGATTCAAAAGTGGAATTATTAAAAGGTGAAAGTCAGACAACAAAGAAATCCTTCTCAAAAATTTGAAACAAACTAAAAATTATATGCGCACTTGGGACAGCTGTGCTGATGTTTCAAAGTACAGCATTTCCTAGAGCATTGAATTCAAGACACTTCCCAATAAACCTGCTTATATTGTTTTGTATTAGCTCCTACAGCAGAGTTTAGAGTACATGAAGATAAAATCAGAGTTTTATTATATAAGTCTGAATACTGCAGGTGATTTGCTAATAAAAAGCAAGCTCAGGCTGTGCAAGGTTGGCAGCCTGGTTGTACTGCTTGGTTCCGACTTGCCTCTGACTGCCATTTTCAACCAATGTGAAAAATGCCAGCACACAAAGACTGAAATAATGTTTCAGATGTGAGCAAGGAAAAATACCTCTAATGACCTTTTTTTTCTTCATAATCAATGTCTCCTTGCCTAAAGGTTACATCTATTAAAATTACAGATATTCCGTAAGTTTTGGATCTATAGTCATAATCATTATCAGTCAAAAGTATTTCTGTTTTTTTTTCAAAAAACAACCATTGTAATTTTTAGCAACATTTCAGTTGGATCAGTTGTACTTACATATTTTATCAGGCTTTCATATTAAATTTCAGATGACTTTTTGTGTAATCTAGCTCATTAAAATTACATTATAGATATAGTTTGGGGTTTTTTAATTGGAATCTAACTGCTCTGAGTAAGGCAACACAACAGAGGAGGAGTCCTTCTGTATTAATAGTGCCTTGATAACTACAGTAGAAGCAACTCAGCACCATATCAAATATGAGTAGAAGACAATGCAACCGGCTATCTCAGTGTAGTGATTTTTCTTTTTATTGCCTGTCACCCTTAGTGTATGTGAATGTTGCCTTATCTTGGCCTTAAAGAAGGAAATGCTGTGAGTAGGGGCATATGAACACCCACATTCAGGAAATCCTGTGCACACCTGCTCGACTCTAACATGTGCTATACAGCACTGAAGTATTTCTTGAAATAGGGTTCCTGAGAGTGATCTCACTGAAATGGGGTTACTCAAATTCCCAGGTGTTTCATGGCAGAATATGTGACATTGCTTTCAGAAAAGCATAAATGATTGTTTGAGACTCTGGGCTGACTTTAGTTCAATATTTTTCCAGTAGTAAAACAAAACTGACATGTCTTATTACATCTACAAGCAAAAACACTAACCTGTACCTCTGGTAGTCATCCTCATCCTTTTCTTTGCAGACCAGTTCATTTGGGCAAGCAATGTTTCCAAGCAAACTGAGATACTGTAGTGAGGGCACAACTTCAGCCAAATGGTCCAAAAGGCTTTCTAATTCTGTTATGTGTCAGAGGTTGTGGGTTAAGGATTCAATGACATTAATGAAAAAAGCATTTAGAGTTGCATCACTGCTGATTTAAACATACATTTCAATAACTGACAATCAAATTTAGTATGGCATTCAGGAAAATGTCACATTAATTGTTCCAAGGGCAAACAGGGATAAACTTCAGTCAGTTTTTTGGCATGGAATGAAAGAATTGGGCTGTTTTGTCATTCTTTTCTCCTCCTTTCTTTCCTAGGTGGTTCACTACAAAACATTAAAACTTTGACAAAATGATGGATGCTGTGTGGTAAAATGGCTAGCAATTGCTGGAGCCATGAAACTTTTCCAGCATGGAAACAAACAGTTAGTTTCACAGCACATTCATCACTAATATATTCAGTCCACTGGAAAATGAGTTTAAAAAAAAAGAAAAAGAAAAAGAAAAAAATCAAACCACAACAACCCACGTTCACTCCCAGCATATAAATGCTTTGAGTGTCACAGGAACACATTAGTAACCACTCAATTAGTATAAGTCAATTAATGCTTCACTAAGTGCAACTTAAACACTTCAGTGTTACAATTATTTTGTATATGAAGCTTTAAAGACTTGGAAAGCATAATTTTTTGCATTACAATAGCCTTATATTTTGATGTTCATGAAGCTTTTTAACTTAACTATATTCCTTGGAACATAAATAAGGATGATACAATTATTATTGTAAACCTTCATGAAACAAAGAAGAAACAAAGGTTAAACTATTTTTAACCACTGCAATACTGGAGATTACACCTTAGGTTTAAGCATAACAACAATATTCAACCATTTGCACACTGTCAATTAATCAAATAAATTATTTTGTTACAGCTTAGTTTGACAGTCTCTAAGACTCAAACTATACATTCTTATTTACTTCAATTTACATACAAAGATATAGGTGTGATTCTCAAAAAATATGCCATGTATATGTGTGTAAAAAGTTTCCAATATATAAAAATCAACTGACTTAGACAAGAGTAATAATTGTTCAAAACCATTAAAGGACATTTCATTGTTCTGTTTTTATCCTCTCCTTCTGTTAGAGACCACAACTATTGTCACAACTATTGTTTTAAATGCTCAGCTCACTTGCGTTGCTATTATTTATACTTGATTTATGTGCTTCTGTTATCTTTGTTATTTTTGGCTGATGGAATTTACTTTATTTCTCACCCCAATATCTTAAGGGCAGCAAAAGCAATACAAAATGGAAACAGCAGCTTTGTTGTTAAAATTGTGGTCTTCCTTTCATAAGCCTGAAATTTTATTTTATTTTCAAACACACATGAAGATCATGCCAACAATTACTGATTCTCATCTACTAAAATCAATGTATCTACACTCACGGTTAATGTTCTGTCCCTTAAGGTCCAAGGAGTCATAATCAAATATTCTCCATGAGTAAGAAAAATGAGAGTTTGAAATAAGTTCTATGAATTCATCAAAAAGGTAAAAATGCTAACTTTTAATTTGGCAAAGCCACATTTTAGAATGCTACATGCCAGTAAGTAATCTACCAGACCCTTAGAAACATTATCTTTTTGTAGCATCATTTGATACAGGTCTTTGTGAGCTGGGTGAATTATCGATCAAAATTTGGTGCTAAATGTCATACCTGGACCTCAAGCTCACACATAAACTTTTTCATGGCTCTTTCAGGAAGTATGTGACTGTGATAGGAAGCTCACAAACTGCTTTTCCACAGATGTTCAAGCGAAAAGCTTTTTAAAAGTTTCCTAAGACTGTTAGAGAAGTGCTTGAATCTGGCACCTGCCCTCAGCCAGGAGAAACACTTAATTTCTCACAGTGTTACTTAGGTTGCAAAAAGGTTCCCTGAGAGAGTTTACAAATAAAGACAGTTATTTCCATAACACCCAGGAGGTTAGTTACTGGAAGGGTTTGATTGTATATGGTAATTTCCTATCAAAAGGAAAAAAAAAAAAAACAAACAACACAAATCCTTCAACAAATTATTCAAAATTTTTGCTTCTTTTATGGATTAAACATGCAGGATTTTTGCCTGTCAATTCAATAGAGCTTTTTCTTGTATAGAAGCTTTTCTCCCCAAAAGTTTGCTAAATGCGGAGTATGATATGTATTCTAACTCATCTGAACACGCAGACTTCAAGGAAAATATCAAAATGCATTTAGAATGTAATGAAGAGCAGTGTCAGTGTAGATATGCAAGTGTAAGACTGTGCCTCAAAGTCCTAAGGAAAGCAAAAAGCAGAGACACCACTTTCAGCAAGAGTTTTAGGTAAATAACAGGAGTTGATAATCTGCGTCTCAAAAATCTAAAACTCCCAAATTTGGAAATTAGTGTCTAAGTTCTAATACCTTGTATCTAATACCTTGTATTTAAACCCTGAGCACTGAAACACCCCTCTAAAAAGTATCTTGGGCAAGAGATACTTATCATAAATAGTTATAAAGAGTGGTTATATCGTAAATAAAATAATTAATTATTTTCTTTAAGACTTTAACTACCTTTTCTTTTCCTTCTTAAAAACAAAACAAAACTCAAGGTACAGATTGATTTTCCAAGAAGCCCAATCACCTACCATCACAGTTATTCTTTACAAAGCATGTAGGAAAAGTAAATGTTATCCTGTTCAAATTCTCACAATTAAGTATTTTTCATAAATCAGTCCTAAGTTATGGGGCACTTCTAGTGTACTGTTTAGTTGATTAGCATGTCATATACTTATTTAAATCATAATATTGGAACTATATGATACCATCAAAAGTATTAAGTCTTTCTAAAACAATGCTAGGAAAATATGCAGGGATAAAATCAAAAGCAAGTCTGAAATTTTATTGCCAGCTTCCTTTTTTATGGTTTATTGTTGAAGTCTAAGGAGGGTCATACTGGTGCAATCAGAGCCAAAGAGCTGCAAAATCCTGCTGTGCTGTTTCTAAGACCAATTTCAGCTCCATTCTCTTCAAAAAAGAAAAATCACAATTAAATCCATGGACAGTGCTAGTGAAAATGTATTTACTTATTTAAAGCTCTATGAAAACAGCCCTGGACTGATCTTTCCAAAGTCAGTGTCACTGATCATCAGGTGAATATGTAACAGTGATGCCAATACTTACACTAGAGTCCATTGTTTGAAAAATGGTTTAAAGTATCACTGTTATGACAATTAAAGTGCCTTAGTGTGGCAATCCATCTCCTAATTCAAGTGTCATCATTACCAATCCACTAATGCCTCTCTTTCTAACAGATGTTGACTAAAATAAAAATTTGTAATAATTAAAATTTTAAACTCTTCAGCAATACAGCTCACAAGCTACAACATCAATTCTGGGCAACTATACAACAATGGACCTCTCCAAAAATCTAACCTGGTCTTCATGAACAATGAACAGAAACATACTGGACATAATTTAAAATTTCATCCTCATCAAAAGTCTTTACTGATTTATTGCACTGTTTCTAGCTTTAAGTTAGGGAAGCATTTAAAAGAACTGCGTATCTCTCAGAGATTAATTTTTTAAAACCTCTTCACACTGTTACACTTATATATACACCACACAAGCAGACATGTGCACAATCATACACAACCTCATCACTGTATTTTCTGTTCTGAAAAACAAATGCCACCAGCAATACTGAAACATAGCAACAGAATTATTTGGAAAACACAGTACTATGGTGCGTCTGGTTTAGCTGCAGAGCAATATCATTTTTTTGCAAGTTTTGTGGAACCAAAAATATCCTACAAATATGTATGTTCTGACTTTCCTGTTTTCACTCACTGTCCGGTACCCAAGGTTGCTATTTTTTGAGGTTCTCCAGAAGGCAAAAGAACAATCAAAAGCCCAAAGCAAATTAGGTATCTCCTTTCTCTGGCTAAGATTTAACTGTCAATGCAAGCTTATAACATTTTTGTTTGTTTTGTAGAAAATCCTTTAACATGGGTCAAAATTCTAGTCAGGACTACGTCCCCCTACAAACCCTTCAAAGACAAGTTCCCAGGAAATATTACATTTAAGTAAGGTCAAAGTTGTAAACTCTTGGGTGGATAGTATAATGCCACTTCACTTAGTCAATGTTAGGAGAACCTTGCAAGCTGGGTCAGTCATTGTGATGCTAAGCTGTGTCTTTTATACTTTTGAGAGGTTGAGCAGATTCACACAGAAACTACTGGATGATGTTGTATGAGCTCCAGTATTCCTGATTTCTGTATTCTCAAGAGCTTCTTTAGCTGTGTCCCTCCAGCATATTTCCAGGGCAGAGTAATATAAGGTTTAAGTACTAAGAACTAATGCTGGTCATCCTCAAACTCCATACTATTTCTTCCTTACTGGCATTCTTGGTATAACCACATTCATGGTTGTTCTCAGGAACAACTGCAAGTCAAACCTACACAGAAACACCTTTGCTAACGGTTTCTAAATTTATTTATCCTATCCAAACAAACCTATACGTGTTTCTTACCTTACTATGCAATTATTTTTTGGATATAGTTTGAAGTATGCAAGAAAATCTAGGATTTCTTTCTGTAAACTTTTTGTCTGCTAGCAGTTTTTTACTAGTCACACATTCAAATACAGAAAAGTAACCACTCTTGTGCTTTTTCTCATTGCTTTCCAAGTTGCTCCACCATTTCCTTTCAAAAAGTCATTTCACTTCCCAGAGGAGCTGCAGGAGAACTTTTCATAATAAGGAACTTCACTGATTACAGCTTTTGGAAGTTCTTGGAAGCAAAGAGACAAAGTAAAGAGCAATCAGTTTTACATGGAGAATATTTTTGAAATATGTACATGAGAATATCAGAAATATCATGCAGAATTCAGACCACCACATAGAAAGACCCCAAACTCTCATTTAAAAATCTTCTGATAACTAACTATCTGTCATGCAGGTGCTGCAATCAACTTAACAATAAAACAGCTGGATAACACTTCTACCAGAGTCATGAATGAGAAAGGTACCTATATTTATTCCCAGTTGAAACATTTGCTTCAATTAAATTTATCACAAACACAATGTAGCAATCACAAGCTATTCTACAGTCAAATAGCCTTGAAGCAGAAGTTACCAATTCTCCTCTGAATGCAGTGTGAAAAGATCTTTGCCACCTGAACGCTTTTCCATTAGAATGTGCTAGGTCTTCAAGGTTGGATAACCACAGAAATAGCTTGCAATATGCAAGTATACATCTTACCCTTCCCTATGTGCAATAGGATGTCACACACAGCCATTTGTATGCCTCACTCTGGCTTGAACCTTATCTGGTAGGGAGCTAGGACCTTCAGATAAGGCCTTGTTCACTGACTTTGAAAGCATTTTGCTCAAGAAAGAAAGGGTGTGGCATGGATGGTAATTAACTAAATCCATATATCTCATGGAGAGCTTCCTGCATACCAAACACATGGGAAAAAAATCTCATTCTGCCTCCTGGAGCAGCATTAATTTTCTCTGTGTAGCTGGAGTTGCCAGTGATTTTAAAGATATTTCAGAATCCTGATAGTTCCAAGGCTGCAGATTGCCAGTGATTTTAAAGATATTTCAGAATCCTGATAGTTCCAAGGCTGCAGATTTGAAGACCAGGTTTCAATGTTGTCAAGTATACAAATGTGAGAATGTTTCTATTCCTGCAATAAAATTACATTTCTAGTTCTCTATAGTGGTCCATCAGGAAACCATATGTTCTTTCTCACAAAGATTACTTTTTGTTTAGATTTTTTTTTTCTACATTATTCTGCCCAAATGTTGCTCAAGGTTTCCAAGGCATCTCAGTCAAGAACAAAGTAGCAGCTCAGGATTTTTAAAAAGGTTTTGATATCTGGAATTGAACTCATCCAAGCACTGCTGTAGAACAGCACAAGGAATCACCTGGACTGAAGACTACTTCCCTCTTCCACAGATGTTTGGCATCAGGCTTTCACATTACTTAATTTTTACTTCAGTCACACTTTATTCCAGAAGAAAGATTTTTGGCTCATCAGATACAGCAGTTCTCTAACAAGTCACATAGATTTCACTAAATCCATAATTGTGGCATGGAGAACTCAGAAGTATATGCAGGAAGAGTGCTGTACCGAACTGAATTGAACTTAGCTCAGTTCTCTGTTTAGTGGAGATGGGGAACCATGCATTATAGGAGATAATTTGTGTCTCTAATATATTCACTCAATCTACACATCAAATCCTCAGCACTTAACATAATGAGATTCTGTTCAGGCTGGGACTTCTGTGTCTTCAAGTACTTGAGGACAATGTAGAAACAAGCACAGAGGCAGAATAAATTACAATCTACACTTTGGAGGTTAAGCAAATCTGTAACTATTAGAAACCATGACAAGACCTGCGTGAAGACACATTATATCAGAAGTAGCTATTGGTATATTCTTCAGATGAGGTACTCACTATGCTGTTTTCAAAGACTCAGAAACATGTAATCCTTACATCTGAATCACACTGATAACTCCTCTTGCCACAAGCAATGTATATACCATTATAGGTATTCTGCCCAGCTCTAGATTTCACACTCTGTCATATGAAATATTTTGGTTTTCCTTTAAACTATTCAAAACCTAGATCTAGATTCAATCATAGAATATGCTGAGTTGGAAGGGACCCATCAGGATCATTGAGTCCAACTCCTGGTCCTGCACAGGACATCCCAAGGATCACACCATGTGCCTGAGAGCATTGTCCAAATGCTTCTTGAACTCCGTCAGGCTTGCTGCTGTGACCACTTCTCTGGGGAGCCTGTTCCAGTGCCTAACCACGCTTTAGGTGAAGAATCTTTTGCTGATATCTCACATAAGCCTCCCCTGACACAGCTTCATGCTGTTTCCTTGAGTCCTGTCACTGGTCATGAGAGTGAAGAGACCAGTGCCTGCCTCTTCTCTTCACCTCAGACACTATGTTAGGAGGGGCCAAATGTTGTTTACACATACAACGTCACACAATAAGTGAACCATGTAAAAGGAGTAGAAAGCTCTTATCAGAATTACCAAAACAAGATATGGATCAAAATGAAGCCATAAAAGGAGATAAGAGTACGGTAATATTAAGAAATACCCAGGAAAGATCTCATATGAGTTTTAAGTTTTATATGGCATTCCAATTTTCATAGGGGTCAGTTTGGATTTTTGTTTGTTTTCATCTCTCTCTCACTCTCCTTATATATGCATAATAATGTTCCACCAATTGACATTTTGTTTCAGGCCAGTGTTCTTTCCTCACTTTTGTCCTTTATGCAGTGCTACTGTCATATACTGAACAATCTTTTCTGTATTGTATTTCATTATTCTATTTAATGTACATTTTTTTAACATTTTTCAAAGAATTCAACAGAGAAATAATTCATTAAAGGAAGAGATTCAAGTTCAAATAAGATCTTTTTCAAATATGGCAGTCACATTGAAGAGAAAAATCTAGAAGGTTTCTGTGCTTCTGAAGACTGATGTATCCTCCCTACAAGAGATCATTGGTCCCCAGGGCTGAAAATGTTAATGATGGACAGTGGTTAGTTTTTCTTCCCTGGGCAGTTTGTATACCTTAGATGTTTTACAAGTACTCCTGCAACTCCTCTATTAAATTATTGGTAGCACACTACAAAATGCATACATTATTTCTATAACCTGGGTAGCTTAATACTCTCAGAGCTCTAACTTCATAGTTTTTAGATTGAATTAAAAAAAATCCCAGGATAGATCAAATCTTTCTTACCATGTTATCATTGATTTTGAGAGCTTACTCACTTGACAATACTATTTTAGTATGTCTGTGAGACTAGCAGAAATTCTTTAAAGATTACCTCTGACAGGATTTTTTTTTTTCTCTGATTTTGCTCACTAAGTTATTATTCAATACCCCTTCCCTCCTTTTGGCAAGTGTAAAATTTCTCCTTGACATTCCCTCAAAGGACAAATATAATGACATGTTTTTTGGTCTTATGGCCAAATTTATATTTCATGGTTTGTAGAAGGAGATATACTGCATCAGACATACTACCACCCAATGTATCACCAAAAATGTTCTTGTTCATTGTTCATCAGTTCAGATTTTACTATGGCACCAAACAATAAAAAATAAAACCAGTTACTCAAATCCAACCCACAGTATCCTGCATTAACCATAAATCTAGCCAAATACCTAGTACAGTAACGATGGTTACTGTTCAAGAAACACTCTTGGCAAATTTCCAGGGCTCCAAGAAAAAAAAGTTACTCTGCTGATTTTTATTTATTTACAGAGTCAAAAATAAGTGCAGAAATCGTAGAATCTGCAGTTATTTTTATTCCCCTCAGTAGGAGGATTTTGCTTTAGTAGGAGGTAAATTGCTCTCTGTTTACATTGTCTGTAATAAAAGCCTGCAGTTGAGCAGCTTTGTCCTCACGCTGCAATTACAAGGAGAGGGCTTTAACAGTCTGTGCTCTAAGACTCTGCAGGCCTCAGTTGGCCTTTTGGCCACAATTTGATCACCCTTCCCTTTTGTAAAATCTTATATTACACATGTTCGAATCTCCAGAAGGGTCAAAGTATGGGAAAATTATGTAATAATCAAGTCTATGCCCACAGAACTTGCAGATAATTAGTTTTTACAGACCACTATCTATAAGCCCGCAGACTAGGGGCTCAGACTGAGCAGAGTACTTAGACAAGTGCTGAAATATTTATTCTTAATAAACAGAAACAGGCACTAACTTCAGGCATATGGCAAAGTGACTGATTGGTTACGACTGGACTGAACCATACATCAAAATACTTTAATGTATTAAGACCTTGATCTGGATAGTATTTTATATGAATTTATACAGGACTGGAACATCAAGTGACTTGCTTTTAGAGCTGCAGCTCCACAGCAGATATCAAATTGTGGATATTCCAGTTTCATTAAAATAGAGAAAAGTATTAAAATTTTTGTGTGTTTTTTTTTAAATTAATTTTATTTTACTTTAATGTTTTAAGAGCTATTTAAAGTATAAAAACGTAACAGCATTTCACTGCACGCTCTATTCCACTAGAGGTCAGCCTGCAACAGAACCCCAAGCAAACACAGGAACTGCTGCACACTGGTAGCACTGACATTATTTTCTTTCTCTATTTTATCTGTTAGAAAGATTTCTTCAGAGCCATAACTTAGATCTCTCACTAAAATGGAGCAACAGGAAGATATAATGGTGCATTTCATTTATGAATGACCTATAATAAATTACTATGAAGTATTCCAGGTGCCAAACGAGAGAATGCTTTGTCTGCACATGAGCTATATTTCACATACTTTAATTTGGCTGACACATAAAACTCATTTGACATTTTGCAGGTATTTCTTTGAAAGGATATTTGGTTCTTGTTGAGCGTTAAGGTATGGAGGTGGGGTAACCTGGGTAACAGAAGGTCATTTCCAAGTAGATTGTTGTCCAGGATCAGCTCTTCCAAGTAACTGAATGTTTTCAGTCCTTCTAGTGACCTGCAAACGACAAAGGCAACAGGAAAAATGATACTCCCCTAAATCAGGGAGGCCATTATGAGCTGAAATAAATATTTTAACCTTCCCTTTCAGGAGTGGGAATAGTTTTGGTTTGGGCCTGTCAGAAGAGTGAATGACAAGCATTAGTGGCAAGGGGAGTGCTGGCACTGCAACACATCCTTCACATGCTGGCAGGATGAAGGATGCGGGTCACTTAGTGAGTAGCCAGGATCCAAAACAAAAGGCTTCAGATATGGGGCCTGCAGGATGAATTTGTCAATGTCTTGTGCCTTCAGGCACCCAGCCTCGCCTGACCCTAACCTCCATTCCCAAGATAAATAACTCTGTCACAGTTCACCTTCATTCCCTGGACACAAATTTAAGTTGTCATCCATCATTTCTGCCAAGAAATATCATACCCTGCTAACAATAATAAATACAACTTCAAGTATCATTTCTTAGCAGTTACCTTACGTGCAATAATAGGAAATGTAGAAGAGGCTTTTTTCCCTTTTTATTAACCACTTAATTAGCTTTTTCAGTCCCTGCAAACAAAGTGAAATGTTCTCTACAAAATAAAATGCAGAATTAGACTGGAGAGAAAAGGCATTTGTTTTCTCCTCAGAACTTACTATCCCACTGTCAAGCCACAGGTCAGACTGCAGAAAGTAGCTTTAAAAAGGAGCATTTGACAACATGGCAGTGAAGACGATGACTTGTAAATAAACAACATTCTGGTGGTATTCATTCCTCCGATAGCATAGTACAAGAAAAAAAAAAAAACTAAAAAAGAACATTTCAGTACCTTATTAAGACACCTATTCCAAGCTTGATTCTTAATGCTTGCACATTCCAACAGTAAAAAAAAAAACAAAACCACACATTAATCAACTAAGACACATGATATACAAAGCATACGCACAGACACGCATTCACAGCTAATTCACCTACCAGACACCTAAAGATATGCTGAGATTGCATGAGTTGACAGCTGATCTACTATGCCTACCAGTGGGAAGATCATCACTGTATCTCCTGGCTGTTTTTTAAAATGTGATGAATAAGGGAGATGCAGTCTGTACTATTTATTCAGTTAGCAATGACATTTATACTGAGGGGATTTCCTCACCCTCTCCCTAGTTTTTGGCAAAGATCAAATTGTCCCTGTTAGAATGTTCTACAGACCCTACTACTGGAGGAAAACACAATTATTAGAAAGTATATGGGTTTCCAATCAGACAATTTAACATTCATCTGTACAACAACCAGATCCAGCTTTTGTAGATACAACTTACTAACAACTTATAGATCACAGTTAGAGGGTTCAAGCAACAGAAAGAAATCAAGTCTGTGACCTTTACACTGGGTACTGTACACTAAACTATGAATATTCAAGTAACATTCGCACAACAGTGAAGCAGTGTATTTCAGTCCAAGGACTCTAAAGCGCTCACAGTCTCTTGACTTGAAAGGGAGGTACAACTATTACTAATGACACTTTGATGCAGGGCAGTCAGACCTGAGGAAAATTTGCCATGCCTATACCCTATGGCCTATCTATTTTGTTACAACACCTTGAGACTACAATTTCTGAAGTTGAAAAAATAAAAGCCTCTATTATAAACATTATACTGAAACAATCACCACAGTAAGAGTCACACTTTTTGCCCTTGCCTTTAACAAGCAATTTTGAAAAAAAAACAACTCAATTCAGCCTACATAAACTGTACTCCTTTAAGAGCTGGGCTAGCATGCTGCACTGAGCCAGCTAGTTCAGCAAAATGTTGCAACAGACTTGGTTTTGCCAAATTCAAGATCAGAGGAGAAATCAGCAAACATCTCAGACAGTGCTTTCCCCCAAGTACCTTTAAAAGGCAAAATAACCCAGAGGAAGTAGCAGTGAGTTTATCGAGCTGTTATGAGTTTTCATTTCAGTTTGACAAACCTAGTTTAGCAAATTCCCCTTAAATACTCTTTATTATATAAATAGTGGATTATTTCCAAACCTCACTTTTCAATGTATGACTTTGACTTGCCAAAAGAGTTCAGAGAAGGCCACCTCCTTGTCAGCACCACAGAGCCTTATGGGATGTTAATAGGTCCTTTGTGAAAAAACACTGCTTGGGCTCTGGTCAGTGTCAGCATCAAAATACACATTGTTCCTGAGTTATGTTATGCAAATATAATACTCTTATCATGAGAATCAGCAAATGGTTGGCAACTGGCAAGGAGAAGAAAGCACACATCCAAAACTGCTGCAGGGGAGGCATAAAACAAAATGACAAGCCATGAAGTGGGACAAAAGGCCTTGAAACACTAGAGGGAGTTGCCTATTGAAACAGCCTTTCTTTCACAACCCTGGGCTGAACACAAGAGTACTAGTTTCATAGATAGGCAGAGAAAAGTGTGCGCAAATCTCCTTACACCTGTCTGGTTTTGATAATTTTTGCCATGTAATGTTATTAGCTGCTCAGTTAAAAAGGAGCCATGTTACACAGGGGGTTGCTTATAATTGCTGTTTTCATGTCATCAGAGCAGTGTGCACTTGGTGATTTAATCACCTAAATTCAGAGTCCAGGAAGATGGGAGGGGTTGCCACAGTACAGAGAGAGGGTGTAGCCATTAATATAAATTTACAGATATATGTTATTTTGCTATTCATGAAATTCTTTGTTTCACCTTATCCAGAAGAAAACATTAGCACCAAAAAAAACCAAAAAAGGTAAGATATGGCAAAGAAACAAAAAAGGAAATAAAAGTGTTTGCTGTCATTCAGTGATTATAGCTACTGAATTCTAGGCATCATCTACCATCATGTTATATAAGAAAATACTGCCCAGCAGTTGTACTCAAAAATGTAAAAGTTTTAAGTACAATCCACATAATAGATTTATGGTACAAACTTCAGCAAGTCCCATAATTTCTGTGATCCTCAATTTCCTATCTGCACATGGCGGATAAGAAAGGATTGCAACTGGGAATTCATATATAGAAAACATTTTTGAGAAGCTGAGACAGAAATCAGCACAAAATACTGTCATTTTTATTTTTAATGAGGATGAGAGTAATATTAATGTACTCCAAGTATTTCCTTATGAGCCCATTACAAAACAGGAGAGGAATGTGTATATATACACAGCATAGGAAGGACACAAACAACCCAAGAGAGGAGTATAAAAAGAGGGACATCCCCTAAGAGAGAGAACCAGTCTAAAATTAAATCTGAGCTGTTTTCTTATAGTTCACGGCATTAAAAAAATGTCTTTCCATATTAGTATATTAAAAAAAAATGCACAATCTTATAACAATACAATCTTACAACAATCTTACAACAATACAACCAGCACTGAAGGGCCAGTGGCAAGTAGTTGTTTGCCCTACTTTAAAAAGGCCAATAAACATCACTAAGGTGGATTGCAGGGTTGCTTGTCCCAGCTCTAACGTCATGAAAGCTGCCCATTATCTCACCCACAGGTACCGTCTCAGTTACCTCATTGCAGGGCTCACACTTTGCTCCCAGAGGAGAGCAAGTGCTGCCAAGAGATTTCCATTGCAATTTTCAAAGTCACATCAAACCGACAAAACATCACAACGTATTCAGTGCCGCCTCATTCAAACAGAAAAAACTTTAAGTTTCCACTGTAATTAACCCTATCCTCGTTAAGATAATTATGATCAAGCTCCCTGTCACAGCTAATATCGCAGCATCATTGCCTATGGCTCACGCTTTGCCCTCATTAGCTTACAAAAACACTGCGTTAAACAGGAAACTGACTCCCTCTGCAAAACGACTTAAGATGTTCTGTAAGCAGACAGTAAATAATCCTTTAGAATATAAAGGTCTCAGAAATGTCATTTTATCCAAGTTCTTTGGCTAATCAGTATGATTTCTTCCAGCTTTCTTTTCCATAATTCATTCATGGTTTGTAAAAAGTTTTAATCATAAAGGAATGTCATGACAGAATTTTTTTTTTTATATGTGTATGCATGGTAATTGTCAACTACACTATTTCATGTGGTCCCTCTGACCTGACAGGGATTTGGTTACAATGCAAGTAAAAAGCAAGTCTTCATTTTGGTAATATTTGACAATGAAAATATGACATTTTATAAATGAAAAAAAGCAGAACCCTCTCATGTAATAGACAAACCTTGGTACTCTGCAGTTGTCCTTGTCCAGAAGAACAAGCTGCTCAGAAGCATATGCTAAAAAAGAAGTATTCCCCACATTTTATCCCACCCCTCTATTAATAAGACAGCTGCCTCATATCTAATTGACTTTTTCCTCCTGTTTAACAGGAAAAGAGAGAGCAGTTAACAATATGTAAATGAGAGAGTTTGGGTTTAGCCTTGAAATTGATTTGCACTTTGTTGAGAAGAGATAGCCATTAGCAGAAGTTAAAGATGGAGCTGTTACCAAACAAGAGCTTTTTAAAATACCTTTTTTCTTGCCTTTAATGTTTTAACAGATTACAGGAGAGCAGAATCAACATGAGAACCCTTGTACTAGATAATTTCAGTATTTAAATAGAAATGCAAATTCTATTTCTCCAGCACCTGCCAGCCAAGGAGCACAAAGCATTTTTTTTAAACATTAATGAATTACTTTTCAAAAACCTGCTGAGTTTAAAATTCCATTTTGTAGTAAAGCAGAGAGAGGTTAAGTGACTAACGGAAGGTGACCTCCAGCAATTTTCTAAGAGACAAGAAATAACACCCAGAAGTCTTGACTTCTAGTCCTTTGACTTAACCTCACCAAAATAAAACAAAGAGCAATAAATATGTTTATATATATATATATATATATATATATATATATATGAATCAAGCAGACAAAGTACAAGTAAAGCATCAAAAAATGATCCTACAGAATTCAAAAATAAATGCTTCCCCCCCCCAGTCCTACTTAGGGTTTATTCACAGTTTTCTGCATGATAATAGATCCAGAAGGAAAACAGAATGAAGTATTTAATGGACAGATCTGACATGACTTCTGGACC